TTTTGTTCTTCTTGGTACAGTTATCAGAAACATGGTGCTAAGGATAACTTAGTAGGTTTACAGTTCATCTACTGTCCTTCAATAAGAAGGGTGTATATTGCTTATTTTGGACAAAGTTGAGGAACCATTGGATGGAAGCAAGATGAGGAGGGAAAAGTAGATTTGGGGGGGGTAAGCACGATAAATGAAATCAATGAAAGTTGCTGTTGACGCTCCCCATGCAGATGTGAGTTGGTCCTAGAAGGTACAAGCTCTAGAGATGAAGGGCATTCAAGTATTCCTTTGTTTTCTTGTCAGAGAAGCTACGCCAGCCGACACCTTTCTTGGTTCAGTGTCCCCATTTTTAAAGACAACAGCTGTTTAGATACTTCATGTACTTCTTTTTCATTCATTCAACAAATATATGAACAGCTGCTCTGGCTAGGGAATGTGTTAGACACTTTAGTAGATTTGAAGATGAATCAGACCAGATCCAGGCAGAACAGCCCGGCACAGAAAACCCAGAGTACTGTGTAGTGAGGCAAAACATAACCCGGATGAATACTGCAGCGCTTTCAGCCCAATGCTCTAGTCTCCTGGAATGGGGATGCCATCGCCTGTCACCACCACCATAGAATGGTTTGTCCTTGAGCTTGTTGTTCCTCAAAGATCGGACATCTCCAGAACACTGCTTCCCACTTCATGAAGGAAGGCCTGGCTTGAACTCAGAACATTGTTTCTATTTGAAATTGTCTCAAGACTTCATATGATCACATGCAGGTTTATTGTTGGTGCTACAGCAAACGCAGGAGAAATTCACTTTGTTTGAACAGTGAATGCTTGACTAATTTGTCATCAAAGTACCAAATGCACAGATGACTAATCACACCATTTTGGTACTTCAAAAACCATGACAAGTTTCCCTACCTTTGTAATAACTGGGTTATATCTTTCTTTGCACATCTGATCTGTTATCTTCCAAGAGAAAAGCCTGTCTTCTGCAACTATGTATCCTCTGTGTAAAGTAGTGCATCATCTTATCAAGCCTTGTCATCTCTAAGTTACTAAATATCTTTTTTTTTTTTTTTTTTGCAGAAATCACTGTGCTTTTGGCTTGGTGGCTCCGTGATATTCAATTGTTCTGTCATTTGTTGAGTGACCAATCAGATGGGTGGAGTATGTTATAGAAATTGGCAGCAAGTATCCAATGGGTGAAGAAGGTAAGATGGGCCAGCATTACTGAGTGAGCCACATGTTGATATGTATGTGGAGATGGAAATTATGCCTGCTGGATCCATTCCTTAAGCCTAGCTTCATTAGGACCTTTATCCAATCCAAAGTAGAGATCTGAGTGTGAGGGTGAGGCCTACTTTCTTGGACTTTGAGGAATAGGATTTTTCAAGGTCATTCAAGGTATTCTCTATATTGAACACTTAACTATGTGTCAGTACAGGGATGATAACTCTTTTTAATATAGAAGAGAGAGAAGAAACCATAGAATATTATGATTCTTTAGCAAGGACTTGGCTGGACATATTGATTGAGATGATTTTCATGTTGTATTTTTTTTCTTTTCTTTCTTTTGAAAAGAATTCTTAAAATAGGATAAGGTGGCTTATATCCCACAAGGAAGAGATTGTTGGAAGGCTGAACCTTATAGATCTCAAAAACCAAGAGCCTTGGTGAGGATCCAGCAGGCCTGATTTTAACTCCTGGGTCCAGCTCTGCTAGTCAGGGTCTGTGTGCCCTTAGGTTAATGAGCTCTTTTCTGGGCCACGTGGTGGCCAGGGTCTAAGAGTTCTCAAGTTTTAGAATTCTACAATCCATTTGCCTGCATTCCGTCTGGTCAGCGGTGATTGCAGCTATTTTCATAGGGCATTCAAATATCAGGCTAGAAATTGGAGGATTAACTCTGTCAGCAGGACACCCCACATCTGGGGGTTCTAGACTCACCTACCCACACTTCTGTGGCTCATGCTCATGTACATGGCCAGCAGGTGTCTTGAATGCCAGGCACATCATGATATCCCCTCTAGCCCTTAGCTTTCTCCTGTGTCCCACATTTGGGTGACAGCCTCGTAGTTCACCCCAGTCGGAAACACAGGAGGAATCCTCTGTGCCTCTCAGTTCCTCCCGTCCCATGACAATGCATTCCTATTCATTCATTCCTACTGTGAACTCGCAATTATCTCAGAAATATTTCTGTTTTCCTCTCTTCCTCCTGCCACCGTCCAGATGTAATCCCAACCGCCTCTCTCCAATGTTACTGGAATTGCCACTTAACAGGTGTTTTTGTTTGTCAGTATTTTGTTTTTGCCTCAAGGATTAGTTCTCCCTCATCAGCTCCAATAAGAGAATCTTCCACACACTGTCTGAACATTATCCCTGATCCAGACTTTTACAGCACTCTCCCACTTAACTCCTTTCAATAATAGAGACATAAGCTCCTGAATGAGCTTCTAGGACTCCTGAATGCTTTCCAGACTCACCTCTCAGCCACTCTGTCCACACCCAGCCCTCTGGATAGACATGCTTTCTAGAATCTACCCACATCACACACTTTCACTTCCCCTAAAACCATATAACCCCCCTCTCTCTAAAAGCATTCTTACTCACTTTTTAGCTTAGCTTGGACTTCACTATATCTGAAGAGTTATTTCTGATCCCCTAAGACTGAGCTGTGGTCAGCTTTTGGACAATACTTTACCAGACAGGGAGGACACCCTTTTCTGTGATTTCCATGTGGGATCATTGTTGTCTATGTAGTTGTCTGCTTTCCTAGCTATACCTTGAGGTACTAGAGGGCAGCGTTTATTTTGGGACCACCCATGCTCCTAGTTACAAGCACTCTATCTGGCCCAAAGTATGCATGTGAAAGGTATTTATTAAACAAGTGAACAGAGATCTATAGTATATTTTGAACAGGAAATGGAGAGAACAGTCATAATTATATCAGTTAACAGGTATTGCATGCTGACCCTTGTCAGGCTTAGGCTTTCTTTAAAGTCATCATTTAAATTTTGCAAAAGTCTGATATGGTAGGTACTATTAATATCCAAAATTTTTTAAATGAGAGAACCCAACCATAGAGAAGGTAAGTTGTCTATGGTGATATGCCATAACTTTTATGGTTGGCATCTGTATCTGTTGAAAGTTTGACTTTACCTCTAGCTGGGTCTTTTGGCACTCTTCTTCCTTTTCCTGAACAAATCCGCAAAATTGTTGACAAAATCATTTCTTTGCACATAAGGGCAGAGGTCTTTTCTGCAGTCCACACAAGCTATTGTTAAAGAGATGGGCATCAGCTGCGACTAGACCCATTGATTTTTGGAGATGTCCCAGATACTCATATATTGATCATATATGGATGAAGGTCTATTTGGGGAGACAACCTCAACATTGGGAGATCCCAGCATTTTCTCCCATGCTCTGGTCAGTAGTTGTTAGGAGAAAATCCAATGAATGAAAACATTTGTTGTGAAATCAGATCTACCCCTCCTTGCAAATGCATCAGCCTGATTTGGAAGTTGTAGAGTCTACTTTTCTCCCATGTGCATAATTTTTGGTCATTTGCTTTGAAACCTGGTTCAGCAGACAAAAACGCGTCTCTCTCGTGGGTATGTCTGTGAATGATGATCATCTCATTTCTGCCAAGCTAAATGGGTCTCTTCATTGCATCCGCCCTTTCAATTCTTCAATAGGAGGTGAGAGTGACATTTCTGATTTTTCTAGATAATAGGGACAATTAGAATGAGGTAGCAATGAAACAGAGTCAAAAGTTAAATAGAAAATACTTGAATTTAATTTCACTTCTAGGAAATCTGTTAGATTTATTTTTTCAACTAGAAATTAAGAATAGCCTATTTTGAAGAACTTTGCTTAGCTTTTATTCCAAGAAGAGGAAGTCAAATATTCCAATGCCTGTGGAATAGGCATTGTGACCCAGAGCTGCTGGCCACAGTCATCCTTAAAAACAGAAGCAAACAAACAACAGCATAATACAGACAGAATAGTGCTTTCATCTTGGGGATGGGATTCTTGTTTTAAGGAGAGGAATATTGTGACGTGGGGGAAGAGAAGGCTCATTCATGATGATCATCTTAGTTTTAGGTCTGGAAATAACAAAACAGAACTTATCAACAACTTTAGCTCAAGACTCATTCTTGATACCCAGTGAGTTCAGGATGCCAGTGTTTCTTGATCAGGTCCCTGTGATATAGGCAAAGGAATGAAAAGACACTTTTCCTAAAAACTCCCTAGTCCTAAGGAGTCTGCATTTAAGTGGCACTGTATCTAGCAGCCAGACTCTTAAGTGGAAGGAAATAAGACTTAGCAAATCCTGGTGAAGCGGCTTGGGTTCACAGAGTCAGCTTTCTCCCTGACTTGCAGGAAAATCAAATTGAACGTGAATTTCCATTCCTGGCATACCTGTCTCACTTAGGTACCTTCTCAGAGCAGTGGAGGAATTACCTGGGTAGCTACAGGACAGATCTCAGCCCTGCAACCTTGCTGGGTTTCTAGTAGGGCACTAGAGCCCAGATACGAATGGGTCTTGGAGAAGTAAAAGGGATGTGCCATTTGCAAAAGAAGAAGGTGCACACATTGACACCCTGATGAGTAATAATCAGCTGGGGCTCCTGGTCACAGGTCACCCAGTTATCTCTCATTTGCATAGAAGTCAATCCCCGAAGCTGTTTGGGGCAGCTCACCTGTGCTAGGAAATCCATGAGGCTCTGTGTTGCCTCTGACAGTTTGAAATGTCGGCAGTCTGCTTTGTAAGCCTCTGGACCTGCTGGGACTGTCTGCAAATACACTTTTCCTATTTTGGGATGTAGGCCACTGTGGAGAAGGAGGCCAGGTCATCTGTAGCTAGTGTCACTAGAATCATAAAACAGTTGCTCAGTGCTCTTGGTGACCATCCATTGCAGATCTTCAATGAGTAATGTAACTGTGACTACCATGTTCAATAGACAGTTGCATGAAATTCCTACATGTCAGGCATGTGAATATCCTGCTGCTGCCTGAGACCAATATGAAAGGAAATACCTCAGACAACAGTTATGCTTCTCTGATCTTACTTTCTTTAAGGAACGATGGGCAGAGAACAGAGATCCCTCCCAATATTAACGACGGTAGCTGATACCTGTGAAGCAAAGCCGTGTGGCAGGCACGGGACCTCATGCTTTACAGTTACTGTCTTGTTGGATGTCACCCAAAATTTGATTGCTACATGCAGTGGCCATGATTTTTTTTTTTTTTTTTTTATAGATGAGGACACTAAAGTTCAGAGGTGAGAGCAGTTGCTGATGGCCACATAATTAACTATGGAAAGAGGAAGCAGAGATTCCACTCTCATGTGCCACACCCCAGTGCCTCCTATTGATCAATATGACTTAATTCATTTAAACTTTGACTTTCAGTCTTGGACTGATGTACATGGAGGTAGTTGGAAAGCATTTCATATTGTCATTGTTTTGGTATGGCCTAAATCTTGAGTTTTAAAGTTGTCCTAACGGATTCTAGGCACAGTTTGAAGCTAAATGTGTATATATTGAGTTAGAGGACAAGACGGGTCTGGATATGTTCTCTCATCAGCCTTCCCTTGAGAATCATCAGTATTTGAGGCCTTGAACTGGGTCATAAATGAAATGCACCTGTCTCAATACAACAATGAAACCAAAGTTATGTCTTTATCGTGACCCCCCTTACCCACCCGCCCCTGCTTTCTGGTGATAGAGCAGATAGAAAGCCATAGCACAAAGCCACTTCTAAACACCTTCACAGATTGTAAGAACACAGGATGGAATGATTCTGCTAGAAGTAACCAGAGGAGACTTCAGTGGGGAGTTCACCTTTGGGTTCAGACAGGAGCCTGAGTCGGAATTGACTGGGAGGGGGAGATCAAGACCTGTCAAGGGGATCTACAGAGAGGTTGTTGAGCTGTCCTTTGTAATGACCAGGTAGAGTGTCCCCTGAAATGTTTCTTTGTTTTCGTTTTTATTTTTATTTCAACAGACAAGATGTTGAAATAGATTAAACATTTTTAAAATTCAAAATATGAAAAACGCCTACAGAGACAGTTCCTCCAATTCCTTGTCTCTCATTTCCTTTCCAAGAGACAACCACTCTTTTGGGTTTCCTTTGTGACCTTCCAGACAGTTACAAACATGCATCCACATAGCCACTCCTTCCCCTTTTGCCCACGTACGTGGATGAGACC